CTGGTCAATTTACTATATGTGCACCCTCGTTGCCATAATGCCATCTTGAATTATTCAATCTTCGCGTCCTCAAGGCCATCAGCCGTAATACGTTGCATCATATTTGCGTCACCGAGGCCACGTTCCCGTGTAAATTACACATCGTCGCGCCCTCGAGGCCAAGACTTTTTGAAAATTACGCTGCATTCGCGTCCTCGAAGCTACGATCCCTAGCAAATTGCGCGATGTTCGCGTCCCGAAGCCACGATTGTCAGCAAGCTTCCAATGCGAATCGTCAGAATTCGGGACATGTTTTTTCTTCACTTCTGCTTTGCAAGCTGTAACTTATGATATTGGCCCTCACGTGATGGCCGAACATTGCTTCACGACGGCGCCCTTGCATCCCAACGTAGCTCTGGCATGTCCCATCCTAAGAGAAAACGGGCCGGCGGCAATGGACGAAGCTTTCCTGGAATATTAATAAGAAGCGAGAAACGAGAAAGAGAGAGCGAGAGAGAGCAACATGAACAGTAAAGAAACAAACGAACATGATCGACCCACGGAAAAGGATATAGAAATGCAAAGCACGGAAATTGCTCAAGACACCAAATTTTGGGCGACGGGCACTTGCAGTGCTCCAGGTAACGATGGTGTACAGTGCCAGGGACAGTGCTGTGCTGTGATGCACTGAGACGCACCATGCCGCGTTGAAGGGCTGTGCTCGAATGCGCTGTAGATCAGGTCGTCCGTGGCGTCAGACTCCCGACCGAACTGATCTGGTTCGTCAGCTCGAGCTGCCTGAACGCATAACTTAGATCTGGCTGCAATCGAAATGCGAGCTCAAGATCCGATTGAGTTCGGAAGCGGGACGAACCGAAAGGGGGCGAATCTGAACAGTTCTGTGATTTGTTGCGTCGTGGAGCAAGTCTTCCCTGTCACCCGAATCCTGACAGAACTGAACTGGGCCTCAAGCTCAAGCTGCCTGGCCGCATTGCTCGCCCAGAACTCATTGAAAACGAGACCTTATGAAAGAATTGTGTTCCGCAACGGGGCGAAATAATAAGGACGAATCCAAGCCGACGCGAACATGCATCGAGAAGGGGCGGGTCGAAACGCCGACGACAACGACAACGACGGCGGACGGCGAAGACCGCGACCGCTGTTCCAGCTCGGAACTACTATGTTAGATATCCACATGGGTGTCCTGGACACGTGAAAATACGTGGCTCCAGCTCGGGACAACCATGTTAGATACCAGGGTGAAATTTGGAAAATCACATACCGAAGAAACTGTGACAGGTTATTCCACATCTGATGCCGATTCATTGATTCTGCCTGGCCCTTGTGCCCCCCCACGCTGTGGGCGCCCCGACGACCACATGCTAGATACCCAACCCTTGGGCAGCCTGGACACGTAACAGCACGTGGCTCCAGCTCGGGGCAACCATGTTAGGTACCACTCTGAATGACATGGGCACGTGAACGCACGCGGTTCCAGCTCGGGGCCACCATGTTCGATACCCCACTGGGTGGCCTGGACATGTGAAAACACCTGGTTCTCGCTCGGGACAACCATGTTAGATACACCCCTGGGTGGCCTAGACACTTGAAAACACGTGGTTCCAGCTCGGGTGCATCATGTTAGATACCTCTCTGAGTGGCCTTGGCACGTGAAAACAATGCGCTCCAGCTTGGGACCACCAGGTTCGATATCCCCCCTGGGTGGCCTGGACACGTGAAAACACGTGGCTCCAGCTCGGGGAGACTATCTTAGATACCCCTCTGGGTGGCCTTGACACATGAAAACAATTGGCTCCAGCTCGGGACCACCATGTTAGATACCCCAGGGAACAATCTGAAAATCACAAGTCGGAGAGGCTGCGTCAAATTATTATACCTTTGGTGTAGATGTATTGATCTTGTCTAGCTCTTGTGGGCACCCACGCTGGGGGCTCCCAGACGACCACATGTTAGATACCCACCCCGTGAGTGGCCCGCACACGTAAAAACACATTGCTCTAGCTCGGGCAACCATGTTAGATACCCCTCTGGGTGGCATGGACATGTAAAGCACATGGCTCCAGCTCGGAGCCACTGTTTTAGATATCCCACTGGGTGGCCTGGACCCGTGAAGACACGTGGCTGGAGCTCGGGACCACCATGTTAGATACCCACCTGGGTGGCCTGGTCTCGTGAAAACACACGCGGCTCCATCTGAGGGCGACAAAGTTAGATACCCCCCGGGGCGACCTGGACACGTGAAAACAAGCATTTCGCCTGAGACATCCTTTGAATTCTGCCACCCGAGAGAAAAACAACAACAATTTCGCTGGAGACATCCTCCGCAAATTCTGCAGAACAAGCGTTTCGCTCGAGACATCCGCAATTAACGAAAATATTTACGTTATACTGAATTTGATCAATCGGAATTTCAAAAACCATCGTTTCGCTTCGGAAATCCTCACAATTCAATTCCGCCGGCCCTCTTCGACCTCGTCAACACTCGCAAAATAAGTTATGCCGGCCCTCTTCGAACTTGGCACCGGAAAAAAGTTTACCATTCTAAAAGGAGAACCCTGGGACCGCGCACTTTCCATGAGAAAGAAAGAGAAAGGGTCAAATAGGAAGAGAGAATTATAGCCGGAGTGCAGTATCCCCAAACAGGGTTTTTAGACCCACTGCGGTTTCCAAGGTCGATTGCGTGCCCGCCTAGTGCGGGCTGGCATGGCATGTTAAAACATGCCTCCTCCTCCTCCTCCTCCTCCTCCTCCTCCTCGTCCACCTCCTCTTCATCCCGAAAGGCATCTCGGAACCCAGAGTTGCGAGGATGTCTCCAGCGTAACGGGCTGGACCACCTCGCGCGCGGCATTTCGGACCCCAGAGTTGCGACGATGTCTAAGGCGAAACGTGCTGCGAGGAAGTCTCAGGCGAAACGGGCCGGACCACCTCGAGCGCGGCGTCTCAGAGCTCCGAGTTGCGGGGGCCTCCTGGTGCCTCCTGGGGAACCTCCTGGGGCTTCCTCCGGGGCCTCCTGTGGCCTCCTGAACTCCACCTGAGGTTTCCTGAAGCATCTTGGGGCTCCCAGGGGGGATATCTAACCTGTGGCCGTTTGGGCCTCTCCAAATACAGGGGGGGGGGGGCCACAGGAGCAGGAAAAATCAACGAATCGACACCGGATGTGTATTAACTTGACACGTTCTGATAGAGGGCCTCCTGGGGCCTCCTGGGAGCCTCCTGAGAATCTCCTGCGGACCCCTGGGGCCTGTCCTGGGCGTCCTGCGGCCTCCTGAAGCTCTCTGGGACCTCCCCCTCCTCCTGCTTGCTCCCTCATGCACATCATCCGCCTCCTCCTTCTCCCTTCCATCTCCTCCTCCTCCTCCTCCTCCTCCTCCTCCTCCACCTCCTCTTCATCGCGAACGGCATTTCGGAGCCTAGAGTTGCGAGGATGTCTCCAGCGTAACGGGCTGGACCACCTCGCGCGCGGCATCTCGGACCCCAGAGTTGCGACGATGTCTCGGGCGAAACGTGCTGCGAGGAAGTCTCAGGCGAAACGGGCTGGACCACCTCGAGCGCGGCGTCTCAGAGCTCCGAGTTGCGGGGGCCTCCTGGTGCCTCCTGGGGCCTCCTGGGGACCTCCTGGAGCTTCCTCCTGGGCCTCCTGTGGCCTCGTGAACTCCACCTGGGGTTTCCTGAAGCCTCTTGGGGCTCCCAGGGGGGATATCTAACCTGTGGCCGTTTGGGCCTCTCCAAATGGAGGGGGGGGGCACAAGAGCAGGAAAAATCAACGAATCGACACCGGATGTGTATTAACTTGACACGTTCTGATAAGCGGCCTCCTGGGGCCTCCTGGGAGCCTCCTGGGAATCTCCTGGAGACCCCTGGGGCCTGTCCTGGGCGTCCTGCGGCCTCCTGGTGCCTCCTGGGCCTCCTGGGGACCTCCTGGAGTTTCCTCCTGGGCCTCCTGTGGCCTCCTGAACTCCACCTGAGGTTTCCTTAAGCATCTTGGGGCTCCCAGGGGGGATATCTAACCTGTGGCCGCTTGGGCCTCTCCAAATGGAGGGGGGGGCACAAGAGCAGGAAAAATCAACGAATCGACACCGGATGTGTATTAACTTGACACGTTCTGATAGAGGGCCTCCTGGGGCCTCCTGGGAATCTCCTGGGGGCCCCTGGGGCCTGTCCTGGGCGTCCTGCGGCCTCCTGGACCTCTCTGGGGCCTCCTGAGGCTCGCAGGGTCCCATGGAGGATATGTAACATGTGGCCTTCTGGGCCCCCAGGCTGGACCACCTCTTGCGCAGCATCTGAGAGCTCAGAGTTGCGAGAATATCTTGTGCGAAACAGGCCGGACCACCTTGCGCACGGCATCTCAGATCTCAGAGTTGCAAGGATTTCTCAGGCGAGACGGGCCGGACCACCTCGCGCAGGGCATCTCAGAGCTCAGAAGTTCGAGGATGTCTCAGGCGAAACGGGCCGGACCACCTCGCGCGCGGCATCGGGGAGATCAGAGTTTCGAGGATGTCTCAGGCGAAACGGGCCGGACCACCTCGCGCGCGGCATCTTGGAGCTCAGAGTTGCGAGGATGTCTCAGGCGAAACGGCCCGGACCACCTCTCGCGCGGCATCTGGGAGCTCAGAGTTTCGAGGATGTCTCAAGCGAAACGGCCCGGACCACCTCTCGCGCGGCCTCTCAGAGCTCAGATTTAGGAGGATGTCTCAGGCGAAACGCTCAATCCCGGACAACTCAGAAACGAGAGTTGTGAAGATGTCTCAGGCGAAACGGGCCGGACCACCACATTTGTTTGAGGATGTCTCTGCTTAGCTTTCCCTCGGCCGGAATTAGCTTCTATCGCAACAGCACCCCGTTCAGCAAGCTGTTTGGGGAAATAGAGACAGAGAAAGGTCATAGAGGATGAAGGGAGAAAAAGGGAGAGAAAGCGAGAAACATGATATGTGCTGGGATGAGGCGAATGAGGGCGAACCGTCAGGAGAAGCGACTCTGAATTTGGAGAGCATCGGCGCGTCCTGAAACGCATTGATCTTGTCCTTCAAGGATTCGGAAGCCAACTGATACGGGCATTGCTCATTATTCAAAGCTATAAGCGGCACGGGTCGCATTGTCGCGACGCGTTGAGAAGCAATAGCCGACCATGAATAGCCAACAACACGTAATGTCAGACATGCAAAATGATTTCATACGTGCCTGTGCCTCTAACTGAACCGCGACTCTATTGCGTGTAAAGACGACCACCATACATTGACACGAGCACGGCTGGGTTGAAGCCCACAAGAACATCATAAACTGCGTTGCGCAAGCATTCGAGAAAGGTCTGTGACTTGATGGCGTTGGAGGAGCACGGATGGCACGGCAGTCGCAGTGATAAGCACTGAGCAAACATGTGCCTGTAGGTCAGCGAGTCGTTGGGCTCGATCCCGATTCTCTCGACGCGTTTTCTGAAGAATGATTTTTGAATGCAAGAAGACTGCGTCGCTAATACATGTAAGACAAGCAGTGGCAGGACAACGGCCCGACGACAAACAACATTCCTGACCGCTGGACAATGCATGGATGTCCCAAGGGCAGTGGGTATAGCCGACATCGACATCTGTGATTCACATCGGGCAGACGACGCACATAGCTTGCAAGCATGGAATGCCTCCGAAGAAAAAGGGCGCTGGGAGACTATACTTAACTCCGACTGTAGGCAATACGCCCCGCACATGCTGGCAAACGGCAGTAGACCATAAGCAGTGCGCGCGATCGTGGGGTACTGCGAATGTCCGATGGGCGATATGCATTGTTTGACAAGTTGCGTGTTCGGCTACCGCCGCCGCCGATCTAGCTCACAATCAATATGCAAAGCACAGGCGCGAGTACTCTCACTGCGAGCACAGGAGGAGAGCATGGGGCAGGGAGGGAAGATGCGGGAAGGATGGCGCTTGGATGAAGGAGGGGATGGGGCAAGTGAGACAGGAACATTGACAAGACAGAGGGGAAGGGGAGAAAGGAGGGATGGGGAAAGGAGGAAGGCAGTGGGAGGCATGGCGCGGGAGGTGGGAAGGAGCAGGCAGTGGGTGGGTGGGGGGGTGTGAGGGATATGGAACTGAGCAGAGAGAGAGAGTGACGGGAGGAGAGGGGAGGGGCATGTGGAGAGACAAAAAAGAGGGGGGGAGGGGAGGGGAGGGGAATGTGGAGAGACGGGAGGGGAGGGAGCGGAGTGGAAGGGGTGGGGAGGGGGGGGGGGGGGGAATGTGGAGGGAGGGGGGGTAGGGGCGGGGAGGGGAGGGTAGAGGGAATGTGGAGGGACAAGGAAGGAGGGAGGAACGCTCGGCGAGGGGGGGGGGGCCTTGCCTCCGACAGGCCCGCCAGCGCTTGTAGACGCTGCTCTGCGACGCGCAACTGCACCTCCCCGATCAACGGCGCCGGAACGACGGCGGCGGGCGGCGGCGGCGCCGCCGCCGCCGCAGTCCTCATCGCCGCCGCCAGAAACCCTACGATCATCGCGCTACCACAAGGCGCACTGAAGAAGAAGCGGGGGGAATCCCACCAGCTCTCTGGGCGCAGGTGGTCTAGACTTTGTCCTTTTCCACCCCTCCCTCTTCCACTTCGGGGAACGGTTTATCCTTACTTTTTATGATTGAACACCCCCGAGCCCTCACCTAGCCGGCCGAAAGCAACCCCGCCGTCCTAACTGTAAAAACAACTCAAACTCAATTCGTTCCTCGCCAACATGTCGTCGAGTTGCGAAACGTGTAGCAGGGATGGGACGGAATGGACATCGTTTGGGGGCCCTAAGCGGCTGGTCGCGTCCTGCCAATCAAAAAAAATACAAAGTCTACGTTTTTCTCGTCAACATGGATTTTCTTGTCGTCGACGCTGCGAAAAATGTAACAGGAATGGGACGCGGCGCACATCGCGCGCGGACGCCTGGCCAACCCTATGCGGGATCCCGCGTCCTACCTCCCAAAAAACATCGCAACGTCGACGTTTCTCTTGCCAACATGTGCTTTCTCCTCGTCGGCGCTGCGAATCGCGTAGCGGGAATGGGACGCGGCGCACATCGCGCGGGGACGCCTGCTCGTCAACATGGACTTTCTTGTCGTCGGCGTTGCGGCCCGCTGGTTTGAGGAGCTGGGCGGGCGGCAAGTCATAATGCATCAAGCAAGTGCGGTTCGCCGCTGGCGCGCGTGGCTGGGATGAGACGCGGCGTACTTCGCGCGCTGGGCATGTTGTCGCCGACGATGCAACATGGGAGGCCGGAGCGGGGCGCGGCGTACATCGCCCGCGGTCTTGTTTCTCGTCGACGTTGCTCAATACGCGGCAGGAGTAGGACGCAGCTCATGTCGCGCGCTGAACGTCTAGCCGCCCACGGTATGAGATGAGCGACAGGCGTCGGACGCGACACACTTGCTTCGTATGTTATGGGAGGGCGGGTGGGAGTGGACGGAGCCCTCTGGCTCGTTCGAGCTGGCTAACTTGACCCCTCCCCCCACCCCCGACCCCTGGACCTGGACGGGGCGTTGCGCGAGCGGTCGGGGCGTCCAAGATGGCCCAAGATGGCTCCAAGAGCGCCTCGGAGAGCCCAAGATGAGCTCCAAGATGGCTCAAAATAGCCTAAGATGCCTGAGTATGGCTCCGAAAATGCTCCAAGAGGCCTCAAGACCGCCCCAAGACGGCGCCAAGAGACCAAAGAGCTTACCAAGGAGGCCTCAAAGAGGTCAAGATTCTTCAAAAACCTTAGGAAAAATGATGTGTGCCCTCTCGCTTTTTCGCTTCCGATGGCCATTCGAAGCCTCAAGATGGCTACAAAATGGCCCAAAAGAGCCCCAAACGGGCCCCAAAAGAGCCCCAAGACGGCCCCAAGGGCGCCCAAGAGCGCTCCAAGAGCGCCTCAAGAAGGGCCTAGGAGGCTATTTTGGAGGCTCCCGAGGTGGGGGGGCGGAATTGAAGCTCCCTTCTTCTTTGATCGATCTCCTCCAAAATGGCCCCAAGAGGCGCCCAGGAGGCCTCAAGAGGCCCCCAAAAGCCTTCCAAAAACTCTCGAAGAGGGCCCCAAAAGGCGCCCAGACGGCCCAAAGAGGCGCCCAAGAGACCTCCAAGAGGCTCCCAAGAGACCCCCAAGAAGCCTCAAGAGGCTTTAAGAAGCTCCGAGCGGCATTTAAGAAACTTCTGGCTCTTCGGTTCGCCGTCCTCCTCTTCCTCATCCACCTCTTCATCCTCCTCCCTCCTCCCCCCCCCTCCTCCCCCCCCTCCTCCTCCCCTCCTCCTTTTCCTCCTTCTCCTCCTTTTCCTCCTTCTCCTCCTTCTCCTCCCTCTCATCCTTCTCGTCCTCCTCGTCCTCGCCCTACTCCGTCTCCTCTTCCTCATTCTCCTCCTCCTCCGACGACGACGACTCCTCCTCCACGCTCCCCCTTTTGGGGTATGTGACAATTTCTCCCGCCCTTTGTTATTCTGCATGCTCCCCCGCTTCCCTGATCATCTCAAGTCCCCTGGGCATCGTTTCTGGATGGGCTGGTGGGGACACTTTTTGGTTAGCAGCCGCAGGCGAGAGCGCCAGCGGCGAGTAAGAGGCCGGTGGGGATATACTTTTGGGGTCGCGGCTCCAAGGCGAAGGACATGGATCGGGTCAACGGCCGGGGCGCGGTGCGAAGATAATTGGCCGCAGTGGCGCATGCACGCGCCATGGACAAAATGACCCTCATTGAGACGCATACGGCGTCGGCAGGTGACCGGCTCAGACATCCCAGCAGGTGGGGACGCAGAGGCGCGGCGACCGGCGGCGGAACGGGGGGGAGAAGTCGCCTTTTGGCGCGAAGCTCCAGCCGAACCACATACGGAGGCGAGGCCAGGACGGACGGCGCGGCACTGTAAAGCTGCAGGCAAAACGAGGGTCCGAATGGCCACTGGCAAGGCGAAGCCAACGAGCGTGCACACAGAAACGGGCCGCCCAAGACCACAGCAGAGGGGAGGGGGAGGGAGCAAAAAAAACGAGCGACAACAAAGGCACACTGCAGCACAACGAGTAAACGATGGTGCGGCAAAAAAGGCCGGACTCGTCATGGTTCACTGATGCTGAAGTGTAGCTGAAACCCGTCAAAGCGCCATCCACTAAAGGAAGACCACTGGTGTGCGCTCGCGAGGCTGAGCCACCTCCAGCCGGTAGCCAGTGCGTGCACATCGTATCCGACTCTCGCGGTTCGGGGGCAAAACGATGCAATGTACTGACGGGGGCTGGTAGCAGACTGTTCGTCAATAATTTTCAGGCCACGGCGAACCTCGGCCACGAAGGGGTTCCCCGACCTGGATGTGGGGAACGGCCCGGAAACCAGAGCCCCTCCTGAGCCCCAAGTGGTCCTTATTGCAGCGTCTTGACTGCACGCGGCCGTCGTACGGCATCCTCCGGCGCAGATGCTTGAGGGCAGGGGGGAGGAGGCTTGCTGGCAGAGAGAAAAACTACGGAGGTGGGACTCATGGCGTTCACGCGCGAAGTCGCCGCCACAGTCGCACTCGCCGTCGCCTTCGCCGTCGCCTCCGCCGCCGCCGTCACCGTCTCTGTCGCCGTCGCCGTCGCCGTCGCAATCGCCGTCGCCGCCGTCGCCGTCGTCGTCGTCGTCGTCGTTGTTGTCACTGTTGTCGTCGTCGCCGTCGCATTCGTCGTCGCCGCCGCCGCCGCAGTCGCCGTCGCCGTCGCCGTCGCCGTCGCCGTCGCCGTCGCCGTCGCCGCCGCCGCCGTCGCCGCCGCCGTCGTCGCCGTCGCCGTCGCCGTCGTCGTCGTCGTCGTCGTCGTCGCCGCCACCGCCGCCGCCGCCGCCGCCCTCGCCGCCCTCGCCGCCCGCGGTCGTCCTGGCAGTCGGTCAGCACCTCCTGGAGCAGGCCGTCGCCCTCCGCCCCGCGCGACCTGCCCCCTGCCCCGCGGGATGCCCGCGCCCGCTCCACCCCGGCCCGCCAGGGCGGTGTCCCAGCGGCGAACGCTGCCCGGAATCGACAGCCCAAACGTCAACGTCCAGAAAAACCGCGGACGTTATTTTTCCCGTCGTGTTCGGCTTCTGGGGACCCTCGCCAAGCCCCGTGGCCGTCAACATGATTGACCCACGAACCCGGAATGGGATTGAGAACTGCGAGTCCTGGGAACGTTCAATGCACCTCAGTTGGCCGAGTGGCATCGCTGAAGATATCAACGGTGGTGCTACTGTGCCATGGGGCTGTGTTGTGCTTCTCTGCGCTGTGACGCGCCGCAAAGTGGCGTGCCAGGGGACGTGCCAGGGGACGCGCAACGGAACGTGCCAAGGGACGCGCCGCGCGATGTGCCAGACGGACACGCCATAGGAAGCACCACGGAACTTGCCAGCGGACGTGCCAGGGGACGCGCCAGGGATGGGACAAACGTGAAAATGGTCCCCTGGCGCTTCCCTGCCCATTACGTGGCGCGTCCCTTGCCACGTCCCCTGACATCTCCTGGCGCATCCCCCTATGCGCCCCTGGCACCTCCCATGGCACGTCCTTCCCCCTTGCGCCACGTGTCGTCTCGTCCCGCTTCGGAAGTGAATCGGATCTCGAGCTCGAGCTGGTTGAGTGTCCATCACGCTTCGATTGCACCAGCTCTGGGCCAACTATGCGCTCAGGCAGCTTGAGCATAATATTCGGATCAGTTCGACCAAGATTTGGATGCCAAAAGCGACTTGATCTACAAAACTATAGAGCACACCGCAATGCATCGCGGCATGACACATCTTATTTCAGCACGCCGCAGCACAGCATAACCTTTGGCACGGTACATCATGATCTAAATCTTCAACATTGCCGCGCACATCGCGCGGCGCGTCTCCTGGCATGTCCACTGGCACGTTCCGTAGCGCGTACCCTGGCACGTCATTGTGCGGCGCGGCACGACGCAGAGCAGCACAACACAGCCCCTGGCACAGCATCATCACCACGCATAGATGCAACACTGCCACGACCAATCGCTCATCGCCCAGTGTAATGTACGAGGGATCGTGACACTTGGGCACGTTCCCTGGCACTTTCCCTGGCACGTCGCGCGCTCTGGGGCCTCAGGAACCCACATGTGGGTCGTTAGGGACCCACGTGGTTTCACGCTTGTCCCGCTGTGGGGCGTTGGGAGTCCACGTGAGTTCACGCTATCCCGCTTCGGGGCTTAAGGAACCCATGCGTTTTCACGCCTGCCTCACTCGGAGGCGTCAGGAACCCAAGCGTGTTCACTCTTATCCCGCTCTTGGGCATCAAAGACCCACATGTTTTCACGCTGTCCCGCTCGGGGGCGTTAGGAACCCACGTGTTTTCACGCGTGTCCCGTTCGGGAACGTTTGAAACCCATGTGTGTTCACGCTTGTTCCGTTCTGGGGCATTCGGAGCGTTCGCGCTTGCCCAACTCTGGGGCGTTCGGAGACCACGTGTGTTCACGCTTGTCCCGCTCTGGGGCGTTAGGAGGCCACGTGTGTCACACTTGTCCTGCT